CGGCGACACACCCAACGGAGCGACACCTCCCGCCCTCAGGCGAGACGATCTGGTAGGCGAGCCTGGCGGTCAGCCGTGGCAGCGGCCGCTCCCACGCCCCGTCGGTTGATCGACTGATGATCTTCATCATGTAGCAGCAGCGTTTCCTGTTACACAGAGAGACGGGATTGCATTCCTCCATCACTGGCAGGCAGGTGGGGGTCGTTTCATGCAGAACCGGGGCCTCGTTTACACTCGCGTCTCTGCGCTTAACGAGCCGCGATCTAAGATAAGCTTCCTTGAGTCGACCTCCCTTCCCGGTCATCCGAGGACGCGCTCTTCCGGACCGGTGCCGAGATGTCCTCATCCGACTCTCAACGGCCTGCCGCAGGCCAGCATCGAAATGTTAATCTGGAACGGATTGGGCTTATGAAGCAACACATCCTGAGAACTAGCTGGTCTTTGGCGGCGACGGTGCCACTGTGTCTTGTTAACGACAAGGCAACCTCTGCTGACCGGTCACAGGGATTGTTGGAGCATTGAAACGTTGGTTGTCGGCCGCCAACACGGATGACTTGTTTCTTGCGTATCTCCCCCAAGACTTGACCGCTGCGGCCGAAAGTCAATAGCGCCATGCTCCCACACCACCATATCAAGAGTCGGAAAGACGTGCCGAGGAAACCCTCCTCCACCCCCCAATGCTGCTCCCCTCAAGCAGAACTGGCGCCAACAAGTTCAAGTGCCGACGCTTGGGATGCCGCCCGCTCGCTTACAGGCCGCCAGGTTGATTGCCCGCATCCAGAGGACCTCTCGCGAATTTAGGCTCTGCGACATGGCCGCCGGGAAGACCTGCAGGCACACGGCCTGCCTACAGTCGGTGCAATATCTAGTATAGTGCCTTGCGACGTGGCGGCTCCCGTCCCCGGTACGGCGTCTGCTGATCAGCGAAACGGTGCTCCACTGCCATCCATTCATCAAGGCCCTTCCGCGATCCCGTCTCGATGGGCTGATCTAATCTGATCGAGCATCGACGGTCTACTTCGCTGGGCAGGACGCGGGCTGTCTGTTCACACCGAAATGTTGACAGAAGCAAGAGGGAGGAGCTGTTCATGCATCACCAACTCCCGGATGCGCCTATTTGACAACTAGAAAGCGGGCAGTGAAGAGCTCCATTCTCACCCGATTGTGGAACCATCACATACTCAAAGGGCCAAGTTCGCCAGGGTGTGTCAAGTGTTTCGGAGGAGGTACTTGCAACCATCATAGAAGCGTTTGTGACTTGTCACATATGGATGAGGATGCTGCTAAGCACGGAGTACAGCTTTCCCAAACGCAACTAGGTGAACCGTGATCAAGAAGCTGGCGGTGACGTTGTAGACAAAGTGGTTGCTAGCAAAGGGATACTGTTGATCGCCGTGCTATGTCGTTGCCGGCCTGTAGATAAGTTCAACAACAAACGGACCACCCGGGAGTCACATATTCCACTGGTTGCTGACATGGCTGAGGAATTTACCTCATTTCCATGCCCGTCAGACGTTGGGTGCCGCTCTCCTGGAACACCTTGATACTCGTCTATTGACTCTGTCCCGTCGCCATGCTAAATACGGACTGTGCCAAAATATATTTGTAACGGGACACTATCCCACGGTCTTTACTAGGCGGCATTTCCCACTCGTGAGGACCGAGCGGATGGGATCTGAACCCACGGTTTCATTCAGCAAGAGATGTAGCGGTAGTCAACGCTAGCGTCCCGGCCTCATCCTTCTCTCCAATGCCTAACACGGATATTCAACAACCAGCGATACTTCAACTGGACACAAATTTTGTACGAAAGAAAGGGGAAAAAAAGAATGCTAGAGGATAAAAGTACACAATGGGCTGATGGCGGGTGAGCAGTGGGTGGCTGGCCGTTGGCTTTCAGTACCTGGTGTTGTTGACAACCTGGAAGTTACAAATTGAAACTAAGGTACACTCAAATAAACCTGAAGGTTTCGGGCTCAAAACTGAAACTTGAACCCAGTAAAAGTCCAATTGAAGTTTTAGAACAACTTGAAATAAGAGCAACTGAAGTCTGAGCTCTTCCAGGTTGCTCCCAAACCAAAGAAACAAGGCCGGGGTCCCGGTGCCACGACCCACTTCCGCCGCAATTGGCCAATCACAACCGCGCCAACATTTTCAAACCGAACCGCATCCATTTTCCCTTCCAAATCCAAACCCACACGCCGTCGTCTCCCGACCTCGCGACGGACGGACGGACGGACAACAAACCCTCGCGCCGCTCCATCGAGGGCCACCACAAATAAACAAACCTACACAAATTATGAACCGGCACGCCCTCCGGTCCGCCCTCGGGCGCGCGACACCCTCCACGACCGCCCGCGCCTTGATCCTCCCCGTCAGCACCACAACCCCGACATCCTTCTTCTCGACCACCGCCTCGCGGCCCGACGATGCCAACAGCAACAGCAGCGGCAACAAACCCCGCTCCCAATCCGCCGCCGTCTCTCGCCTCTCCCAGCTCAACAACAACTCCTCCTTCGGAGGAGGAGGAGGAGGCGGCGAACGACGATCCGCGCTCGACTCGATACCCGGCCTCTCATCATCCTCCTCCTCCTCATTCAGCCGTGGCCCCATCGGTCCGCGGCGCGGCGGCGCCCGTGGCGGCGGTGGTATTGACGCCCGCTCGCTGCGCGTCTCGCCCGACGCGTCGGGACCGTCGAGCTCGGGGTCTGGGCCCCGGGTGCTTAACCTGCGCAGCCTGAGGGGCAGTATCCGCAGCCGCACGCCGTTTGGTCGGGGTGGTGGTGTCGGCGGGCGCTTTGCTCCCAGCGGAGGGGAGGGGGGTGGATCGTTTGGGCGGCCGCGGGTTGGGTTTGGGGCGGGCGGCCCGCGCGGCGGCGGCGGGGGCTTTGGAAGAGGGAGGTTTGGCGGCGGTGATGGTGGTGGCAGCGGGTTTGGGGGCCGGTCGAGAGGCGGTCGTGGTCGGGGCCGTGGGCGCGGCGGTGCCAGGGGCCGGATGGCGAGGGGGTCCCCGCGGGATGACAAGAAGGAGTTTCGGGCTGGGGAGGGCAAGCTGGTTTGGACGCCCGAGGAGAAGGAGGTGATTGACCGGCTGGAGAAGGGCGATATGGTGCCGTTTGACCCCAAGGTGACGCTCGACTCGCTGACCGGGTACGGCGCGGCGATGGCGACGGACGCGCCCATCGGCCAGGTCGAGACGGCGCTGCGGGCGATGCGGCTCATGACGGGCGGCATGGCGTTCAACCCCGAGTCGGGCGTCACGGCCGACGTCAAGGACATCATGAAGAAGTACCGGGCCAAGAAGCCCATCTTTGTGCACAGCAAGGAGGAGAAGGCGTGGATCGAGAGCGCCCAGCCCCGGCTCCGCCTCGTCGGGCCCGACGCCGGCACCAAGAAGGCGATTATCGAGCCTGCGATCCTCGGCAAGTACGAGGCGACCAAGTTTGCCGAGGCCGGCGACGTCGCGGCCACCATGGCCAACTACCACGCGCGCACGTTCACGTACATGGCGTCGGACTCGCAGAAGTTCATGGACAAGGTGCTCTCGCTGCTGCCGGCGCAGCAGGGCGGCAGGCCAGCTGCTCAGGCCAAGCCCTGATGGGGGGGAGGAGGAACGAGCTCGCGGCCAGGGCTCTTTGTCTCGATATGTAACAATACCGTCCCGGCCCCATGTTTTGTTTAGTCTACTTGTACAGAGGTATCTACCCATATAGAACACATATTATTCCATCTTCCACACCCTGTTAGAACGCACACATATTATTCTATCTTGCACACACCCTCGAGCTATTCTTTGCTCTGCCGTCCTCCCAAACGACACCACCCTGTCTATCCGTCCGAGACCCTCAGCCCCCTCTCGCCATAATCGCCCCCACAACCTCCTTCTCCTTGCCCAGAATCCCCTTCATCCGCTCATCCTGCAGCTTCTGCAGCCTGTCCTTGAGCTTGTGCGCGTCGTCACTCAGCACAACCCCCTCCCCGCGCCACTTCTTGTGCAGCTCGCCGCGGCGGTGCGCCTCGTCGCGCACTTTCGTCCGCCACGCCTGGCACACCTCCTTGGCGCGCTTCGCGAGCGCGTCCGCCCGCTCGGGCTCCACCGTCATGGTCAGCTCCAGCGGGTTCTCCTCGCTGCGCTGCGGCTGCTGGTTGAACTCGTCGGACCGCTGCACCGCGCTGATGATGGGCTTGACGGACGCCTCCTCAAACGCCAGGATCGACCAGCGCCGGCCGCCCAGCGGCGCCACGGTCGCGAGCTCCCGGAGGGGGAAGGTCTGCTGGGGGGATTTCTTGTCGGGTTGTACCGGGATCGCGCCGATCACGTCGGCGTTGAAGCGCCCGCCCGTGCGCAGCTTCTTGAGGTCTTCGGTGAAGCGCTTCTCGGCGCGATCGAAGGCGGTCTGGAGGTCGGTGAAGTCGAAGGGGTTGAGGGCGTCCGTTTCCCCTGGGGGAGGGGACGGGGAGGTGGAGGTGATGGTGGGTTTTTGGGGAGTGTTGGCGGCGTCGGTGGTGGTGTCGTCACGGTTGTTGTCTCGGTTGTTTTTGTGTTTTTTCCCTTTTTGGCATGTCGCCGTGTGGGAGAACAGGCGGGCTTCTACCAGCGGACGGCGGCTCCATGGTACGTTGCTGGTGGCGGTGACGGTGACTGCGTGGGAGGCGGGCGCTTGCTGCTGGCTCAGAGTCTGGACCAAGGACGAGGAAGTGGTCCTGCGATCAAGGTCCGGGACATTAGCTTGTTTTCTGGGTCATTGGTAAGCCATTGGGTGTCAGACGGACCTGAGCGATGCGCTGCCGGCCGCATTGCTGCGTAATATGCCGTTGGCAGCCCGCAGGTATCTCATGGTCTCTCTCTGTTTTAATTGTTGCGTTCCTGCGCTCGGCCTCGAGTGTTTAAACTTTTGTTGACCGCGGGGACCTGCATCAGCCAATCACGCGAGTCAGGGGTCCTGCAGCTGTCCATCAAAGTCTCCTGCATGCTCCTCCTGCCCAATCATCTCTAGCATGGCTGCGTGGCCCAGTGGTTAAGGCATCTGCTTTACAGCGATTGTGTATCGCAGAGGATCGCAGGTTCGAGCCCTGCCGCGGTCATTGTTTTGGCCACTCGCGTGGAGGATGTTCCTTTTTGTTGCTTTAGAGTGCCAAGGACTATTCGACTGAGATCCGGTGATGTTAACAAAGAAAGAACCCATTGATTCATGGCTGAGAGTGGAAGAAGTATCGCCTTTAGAGAGAACAATGGAAGCAAGTGCTAAGGAGTTGTTTGTGCTTGGAGATGATGAGTAGGTTCCGGTATAGAGCAGCGTGGACAAGGGGGCAAAGAGAGGTTGCCCATCACCAAGTCATAGGCAAGCTCTTATGAAGCACAGCTCAATATCTAAACCATCCTGTAACCCCGAGCTCGTCTTAAGCCCCCCCTTAATCCGTACACACTCACCCCTGCAACGCCCGAGCCCAAGCATAGGAGACAACACTCCTGCATCAATTGTCGCTAGATAGGTAGGTGGTTGTACGGAATAGATAGATAGGTAGAACACATGCCGCTGACAAGCCGGCCCACAGCAAAAACACCAACCACTCTCAGGGAACCAACTCCTCCCCAACCTCCTTGCCCGAGTCCCTGCCGTAGTGGACAGCCAGGCTCAAGAATACCATACCACAACAGCCGCCTGCCCTCTCAGGCTCCCGTCCTCCTCCCCATAGATAGGTAAATCCGAATTCGGGCCCTTTTACTCCAGTCCCACATTAGAAGACTCTCCCACGCGACACACTCTCGCATATTCCATAACCAACCCCTCGCTCTCCCCTTCTTCGCATCCGCGCGGCCTGTATAGGGTCGGTTGTTGGGACAGTGGGCGCGTCTGCTCCGACATCCTTCGCGCGTGCAACAACGGTCAGCTCAAAATACAACGGCCCCCAGGGGTAGAACCCGGCGTGCCCTGTGGCCGGATGGGCCAGGGTCGGATTCGGTGTGCTGGTGGTTGTCGGTTTCTCCCTCGGCGTCCTGCCCGCCTTCCCCGGCACGGCCCTGCGCCCCTCCCGGTCGTGTGGTGGCCACTAGTTGACTTGGTTCCCACAAAGCAGACACTTGACAGGCTCGGTCCACGTCTTCTCGCCGCCCACGACGCCGTCTCGCAAATCGCGAAACTCAATGACCGGCGGGCCCATGTCGGCCGTCTTGAGCGTCGCCTCAAACAGGCCCTCCCACGGCCGCGCGCTGTCGCCGTTCGCCTCGGCCTTCTTCCGTGGCCTGCCCGGCTTGCGCCCTGGCGTTGACTTGCCGGCGGCGCCGGCCGGCTTGCTCGGTGTATCTTGTGTGGCGGTGGTGTTCTCGCTCGTCGCTCGCTTCGGTTGCTGGTCGGCGGGCCGCAGGGGGAGGGAGTCCTCGGGGCCGGCCTGGGCGTCCTCGTCGTCGGCTGTTGCCTGCCTGACTTCGACGTTGTCCTTTGTGCCGACGTGCACCGCGTCTGACGGCGCGCCCTCGGACTTGACGTCGATCGACTGCTCTGCGGAGCCCTCGGCGCCCGTCTCGGAGGGACTCA